TGATGATTTAATGTATGTATGTATATATACCTGTACTAAACAGTTGATGGCTTAATGTATGTATATATACCTGTACTAAACAGTTGATTACTTAATGTATGTATGTACACCTGTACTAAACAGTTGATGACTTAATAGTTGTACATATATACCTGTGCTAAACAATTGATGACTTAATGTATGTATATATATATACCTGTGCTAAACAATTGATGACTTAATGTATGTATATATATATATACCTGTACTAAACAGTTGATGACTTAATGTATGTATGTGTATATACGATACTAAGCAGTTCATGACTTAATGTATGCATGTATATATATACCTGTACTAAACAGTTATTGACTTAATGTATGTTTACCTGCACAAAACAGTTGGTGACCTAATGTCACCTGAACAGTTTATGACTTAATATATGTAAGTATACCTACACTAAACATTTGTATGACTTAATGTATATAAACCTGTACTAAACAGTTATTGACTTAATGTATGTATGTATACCTGTACTAAACATTCGATGACTTAATGTATGTATGTATGTGTACCTGTACCAAACATTTGATGACTTAATGTATGTATGCATACCCGTACAAAACAGTTGCTGACTTAATGTATGTATATCATACTAAACAGTTGATAGCTTAATGTATGTTTGTATACCATACCAAACAGTTGATGGATTAATGTATGTATGTAAACCTGTACTATACAGTTATTGACTTAATGTATGTATGTATACCTGTACTAAACATTTGTATGACTTAATGTATGTAAACCTGTACTAAACAGTTATTGACTTAATGTATGTATGTATACCTGTACTAAACATTCGATGACTTAATGTATGTATGTGTACCTGTACTAAATATTTATTGACTTAATGTATGTTTGTATACCTGTGATAAATAGTTGATGACTTAATGTATGTTTGTATACCTGTGATAAACATTTGATGACTTAATGTATGTAAACCTGTACTAAACAGTTATTGACTTAATGTATGTATGTATACCTGTACTAAACAGTTGATGACTTAATGTATGTTTGTATACCTGTACTAAACAGTTATTGACTTAATGTATGTATCTATACCTGTACTAAACATTTGATGAGTTAATGAATGTATGTATACCAGTTCTAAACAGTTGATGACTTCATGTATGTATATGTACCTTTTCTAAAGAGTTGGTGACTTAATGTATGTATGTATATATACCGTACTAAACAGTTATTGACTTAATGTATGTATCTATACCTGTACTAAACATTTGATGAGTTAATGTATGTATATATATACCTGTACTAAATATTTATTGACTTAATGTATGTATATATACCAGTTCTAAACAGTTGATGACTTCATGTATGTATTGTTATGTCTCCGTTTGTTAATTAACTTCCCGTAACTTTGTTCCGAGGAAACTTTAGCGACACAAGTATTTACTTAATAAAACT